CAAACCCAAGTTTGGATGTTAAACCATTCTTCGTGAATTGTTCTCGGGACTAAACATAGTTTATCTTGACACTTTTCACAGACGCTAGACAATTTTATAATATTCAGTTAAGTTCCTATTTCATGATATTATCTCAATAGAATTGTTTGTTAATTTTGAGCTTGTATGGTTAATAAATTCATCAGAAAAAGAAGCAGTCATTTACCCATTTTATCGTGATTTCTTGTTGGCATGTTCTGGTCTGCCGGTGTTCCAAAAATCTCTTTTGCATTTGCTTCTTCTTCTGCACTCCCCTCCTCGTCGTCAGCTTCTTTAGCCTCCTTCTCGTCAAGTCCGACTTCCTGCAATCGCCATGTCGGCTCAGCGTTGTCCCATCTGCCGGTCCAGCGTCTGTTGCGCGAAGCATCCCCCCAAAACCTCGGATCTGACAATGCGACCGGCAGGTGGGGGAGATTGTCTTTAGTTGCCGGAACAGTTGTACTTTTCCGGCAGTCTTGGAGAGGAGAGGAGGCATACCGGCCCGACACCATGGATGCACTGATCGATATCTCCGACCCGAATGATGCCAACAATGTACTTGGGTTGTCCATTTTGGAACAGGTCCTCGATTCTCCCGACCTTCCATCGTCCTTATTCTGTCTGTCGTTGTCATGGCCAACTGCATCGTGATCCCTCGAATGGGGTTTCGTTTGCTCATTATCCACCAACTCCACGTCGATTTCATCTTCACTGTACCTGTCTTGACGGTACCACGCCATACCTTCGGCTTTGCCAGCCTCCTGCCCCACGACCGGAGGCAGCTTGCTGGCAATCTCTACCGTCGAGTGAGTGGGCTCCTTCTGTTTGGCATAGCCCTCAGGACATCCGGGCCTGGTGAGCTCGGCTAAAAAGGACTCCGAGACCCTGGCGTCCCAACGCGACATGGGCGCTGGCCGGACAGGCAGAGTGCTCCCCGGACGGGCTTCGTCCATGACTGTAACCGTTGAATGCATGTTGGTATGTCGCACAGCCGAGTGAAGTTGCATGTATGTGCAATTGCGTGCATGGGAAGACAAGGAAGTAAACGATTCGCAAATAAATGATGCAATTAATATTTTTTAATATTTCTAATTTTTTCCTACTCATATTATCATGGGAAAAATTCAACTACCAGTCTCCTTTATCACTTTAGACGAAATAGTGTGAATACATCCCATATAAAGTAAATAGTATAGTCGATTACTATAGCAAATACAACTTTGCTTCATCTACAATCCCAACACAGAATGCGATATGTGAAACCGCCTGTCCTTCCTTGAAATTCACATCTGCCCTGTGACCCAAAGGCATTAGTGTAAATGTGGCGTAATGGCTAACGTGCCAAGATTATACCATGCACTATCACAACCGCGTTCGAGTCCCACTGGGGAGGCTGATGAGACTAGTTGAAGTGAGGCCGAAGCTGCATTCCACTCATGTCTGGATGGTAATACCTTTTGAAGAATCAAGGTTATGTGAAAGTCACTGGATGCTAAGAAAAGTTGGGTTTCGAGGAATCTCTTGATTCCTAATTGTTGTTGAGCTTACTTCCACTTCGAGTGAAAGTGTTGGGTGAAGAGATTCGAAGGTTGGTTCCACCAGAAGACGACGGCGGATTCCTCTCGAACAGCTGTCGATTGGCTTTACTGGAAGATGCATGCTGACGCTGTTTCCAAAGTAATCTCCTTCGATTTCGGTGAAAAGGTGCTAAGCTTTCGTCCGTCATATGACGGATATCATCAGAGCGAGGTAACATCCTCACAACAAAATCACTTTATACTTGATCAAAGAGGCCAGATGTAGAGTATATATACCACTTTTTAGGGATTTGCTGGTGAGTTTTCTTGACTCGCAAGCCTGAATTTTTTTGTGATGATGTTACCTCGCTCTGATGATGTCCGTCACTTGAATTTGTTTTTGACGATGATACCATGCTCTGATGATGTTCGACAAATGACGGAATCGAAGGAGATTGCATCAGAAACAGCGTCAGCATCAATTTTCTAGTAACGCCAATTGACAGCTGGTCAAGAGGAATCCGCCGTCGTCTTCTGGTAGAACCGACCTTCGACTCTCTTCACCTAACACTTTCACTCGAAATGGAAGTGAGCCCAAAAATTCACTAGGAACCTAAGATCTGCTCATAGCATTGTGTGAAAATTCACTTACTAGTCCTTCTTCACCTCGAACGAAATAGGGTGAACACGTCTCTGTCAGCCTTGAAAACCTACTTTTAACCTATTATCTGAGAATGTAAAAGAGATAGTCATAACTTACCGGCTGATTTGGCTAGAAGAAACTGAAGTGGTTAGAGCTCATTTTTAAGCATTTTTCGAGTTGCCAAGGCGACATAGATGAATGAATCCTGAGCTCGATTCTCTGCCATCCATAATCATGATAATTGTCAGTTTCAGACAGTTGGCCTGTTAAAGTCTCCGAGCCTTCTTCTTAAGCTGTAGCTTGGTGTTCATTCTGACAAGGCTGACTGATGAGACCGACCGAAATGCCTGCAAAACGTACGTAAATGTACAAATTCCACCGTCCGAGGCTGGA